AGATCAGAATTCATGTGCTTGGCAACTATCATGCATTTACAATGGTTGCAGTGTCCCAGGGTCAAGTGAGCACCAATTGCGAACTTCCCAGCCAGCTTCCAACAATCAATCAATGGGGGAAACTGGATTTGTTTAATGACCACATGTTTCACCTAACCACTGCAGTGATTCATTTAATAACTGTGGCAGAAAATTGGGTGTGATTCATTTAACCACTTGTTTTTGTTTAGCAATGGAAATCCTGGTGTCAGTTGTGGTTGTAAGTCAAGGATTACCTGTATTGACAAAGTTGGATGCAACATAGAAATAATTTCAGCACAAGTAGTTGATCCAGCAAATCACTCTGTAAGATAACTTAATTTTAAGTGGTTTACAGCCAGTTTTGTTAATACTTTCTTTTTGCTGCAGAATCTTAAATAATGAATAAGCAATTTCTGCTATAAAAGGTTATGAATGAGGCAAATGTTTTTGGCTGTGTTTTGTAGATCTTTAACCATTCAATTAAGTGGAAAGGACATCCTTGTTCTGTCATCTCTATATTTATTGTTTAATGTGTAAATGTCACTTTTATCACAAAGAATGCCAAGTATCTGAAGAACCAGATTGCAGGACATTAAAAGGGGGGGGGGGGGATTGTGTTCATGAGCCAAAACTCTTCTGGTTTGTATTTTTGTTGATTGTTTATATTTAAATTATCACTCTACCTCTATGCCCTCCAAATAGCCAGATATTATATTTAAGACATAAAGTGAAACTTGTTTTGGTATGAAGGGTTCAATGATCTCAGGCCAAGAGATGTTTTAACCCAATGGTTCTCAATCTGAGGTCCACGGAATCCTGGAGATTCTTCAAAGACTTGAAGAAATGTTATGCTTTAAATATTGACTTGGTGGTCTGTGGCCACAAAAGATATTTAAAAAGGGATCCATGCAGGGGTGGGATTCGACCAGTTCGCACCTATTTGCTAGAACCAGTTGTTAACATTCTAAGCAGTTCGGAGAACCAGTTGTTAGAAGAAATTACTGGCCTAATCCTGTAAGGAAGGCAGGAAGGAAACATTCTGGTGTTGCTTACAGAAACTGCCTCTCCATTAACCCTTATTACATTCTTGGCAGGATTAGACTTCCTGTCTCAGGAACTTCTCTGGAGTTTTTTTCCCCTCCTTTGCTGGTACTTTGTTTGTGTGGAGTGATCATTCAAAGATACAATGGCACTGAAAAAAGTGACTTATTACCCTTTTTCACACTTATGACTGTTGCAGCATCCCCACAGTCATGAAAAGCCAGGCGACGAGATGGTGCCTCGATGTGAGTGATATTGAGTTGGCAACGCCCAGCCAATAACGTGACCACCAAGCCACGTCCACCAATTAAGCCACGCCCACAGAACCGATTGTTAAAAAAATTGAATCCCACCCCTGGGTCCATGATGAAGAAAAGGTTGAGAACCACTGTTTTAACTCAACAGTCAAGTGCATATTCTGCCATTCAGAAATTGTTGTGTAATTTCATATGTTAAGCAAATATAAGTACAAACTCAGGAGTAGTCGGGCAGCATCTTTTGTGACTTAACAGATTTTTTTTTTTTTTAAGAAAGAAAGGTTTTGTGAGTTCTAGCTCACTTTCTCAGAGGCATAGAGTCGCCTAAATGGATGGAGTGATCTGCAGCTCATGCCTTTTAATAGAATTTGTTACTTGGAAAAAAGGGTTTCTGGTTTCTTGATACATATTTTTGTCAACATTGATTTGACACACCTGTCCTCCTTCAATAGTTAAAAACTAAAATCTTTATCTTAAAATAATGTCTGGGAGATTTCCATATTTTAAAGGGCTAATATGGAGTTAGGGTTGTGATTCTCTGGTGCTGCCAATTAACTTAATTGACAGAATCACTTTAGAGGAAGAGAGGACAATATTTAGCAACTGCATCAGTTTGAATAAGAGTCAGGTGGCAGGAGATAGTTGCCTGAGGCATTAACCACATCTTGTAATATTTTATGTTCTGTGTAATCAGCATTTATTCCAGACCTCATGACAAAACGGAGCTCATTACAAACTCTTAACTTAGCACAACTATTCTGAACTTGACATTTTCCAGATCCCACTATGGCAAACTGCAGGAATCCCAGCCAGTGTGACAACACACAATAACCCCAACACATTTTTAAAGGGACACTGAAGATGATTGATTTAACATTAACTTTTCTAGAGATGTTCAATATATTCCTTCTACATTTAAATATTTCAAAGCAAAAGTAGTGACTGAATTGCTGTACAGTTATTAAATATATGCCCTAAAGGAATTAGGTCTTTGGGGTATTTATTAATGATTCTTCAGAACCTTATTTGTGGATTTTCTAGGTCCGTCTGTCACATAATTGTGTTTGGAGTCAGGGTTGGAGGCTTGAACTTGGATCAATTTATTTAATGTTTTGACTTAGGTGATGTGAGTGCATCAACTATACTGCTAAATAGTTTATCTTTTCATTAGCAAAGAACTTTCAAATGGGCTGGTTTTAAATTTTGCCCCCAACTCTGCTTGTGGAGTAGGTATTGAAATAAGTTCACTGAACATTTATGCCCTTGTGAATTTTAAGAAGCAGAGAGACAGATTCTTTTGCTGAGTTTATACTGTATTACAGAGATATCCACTGTGTTCTAACCTTTTTTTTTTAGTCTAGTAAATATATCAGGCGGGTCTCACAAATTCTATGTATCTTTTTCTTCTATCAGATGAGTTTCTAGCAATTTCTGGAAAAGCAATTGTTTTGTTTCATTGCTTCTCATGGATCAAATCAATCCAATCAGTTTGATAGTTACTTTGTACTGTATTTGATATTTTGTGAATAGCTTCCTGATTTTAAGTTATGCTCTCTTTATTCTTTTTTCACCTTGTTTTGTTTTATCACTTATGCTGGCTGAAGCCTGTTATAAAATAAAATTATGCCATTTCCCTGGCATAATTTGTGGGACTCTATAAATTTTTACTTTGCTCAATATTTACTATATTTATTTTGCACCAGATGAATTTATTTAAGTTAACAGATTAGCATTTTAAAATAGTAGAGTTTGTCTGTATATATTTTAAATTTGGTATATAATGGATTCATATATTCACTCAATTCAAGCTGCCTGTCATGTAGAAAATTTAATTTAAAAAATGATAATTTAAAAAAATTATATATCCTAGAAAACTAAAGGAAGCCCCACAATATGATTGTTTTTAAGTGTGGTTTGCAGGAACAACAAAGGCTTATGTATTTTTTGTGATAATAGATATTGGTTGTTGCTGTAAATGCAGAGTTTTCCAGTAGTATAAACTAAATCAAATATGTTTCCAGAACTGTAGTTGTAGACTTCCTGCAAAAATCATTTAATATAATTTGTTTTACAGTATACAACTCCTTAAATGTTTCACAACAGGAAAATTGGCTGTTTTAATCTAATTGATACTTCAAGAAAGCCATGCTAAAAACTATGAGATAAAAGCTTTAGCAGCTTTTTAATTAAAATTATACTGTTGATAGAAATAATTTCAACAAAACAATATAACTGCAGCAGTGCAAAGTACATAAACCTGGTATATGAATTATAATACACCCCACTGTTTTTGAAATACACCTCTGATGAAGTCTGTAGAAAAACCATTATGTGCAAATGCTATGATTTCTTTACATCATCTTCTGGAATTGGCACAGAAATAATGCATATTCTAACTCAGATATACAAATAATCTAATAGTCAGTGGTACCGAAACTGAAAGATTCAAGAGAACAATTTTCAAAAAACAAATTGCATGCATAAATTCCTGGCAAATTGGAGATGAAATGAATGGTAGTGTTGGAATGAAACAGTTTGGCTGCATTTAGCTCTACATTCTGAGGTACTGAACAAACAGAAAGAAAAGGAATTAGTTGTTTCTAATCTACTGATTTCTAAATATTTCTCCGAAGACCTTGCAGTGTGATGACCTCAGTTATGATTAATATCCAATATCCCTTTCTAATTTTAGCATTCAAATTACTGAAAGTGACTGTATTATTCCATGAACTTTTTAGTTGTATTTTTTTGATCCATTTGTTCAATGCTCAGCTAAATTTTGAATTATGATCCTGTCATTTTAATACACTGCATCACGTGAAAACATTATTTTAAAGAAATGTATTTATATTGAATAAAAAGACACGTTAGATTGACAATTTCTCCCCCTTCTCAGTCTGAAAATAGTTTGCAGAGTCACCAAGTCATCTTTGCTCAACTTTTTACTGAAAAGAGCAATCTCTCTCTCGCTCTCACTCTGCCTCTCTCTCCCTCCCTCCCTCTCACACATACACATACTCCCTTTCTCTTTTTTTAATAGTATGCAATTATTGGATTGGAATCACCAGGAGTTTGATTATTATTTTTAAAGTAGCATGTGTATACTAAAGAATTTATATATTTTACAACCCAACAAAGCAAAATATGCCATGGATGGGTGGATATGGACAGGCATGAGAGCCAGCTTGATATAATTGTTCAGGCATCTGGGTAGAAACCAAGAGAGAGTGAGTTCTAGTGCCTCTCGGCATGAAGCCAGTGTGTGACTATGAACCAGTGACTCATTCTCAGCCCTAGCAAACAGGCAGTGGCAAACCACTTCTGAAAAACTTTGGCAAGATAACTGTAGGGACCCAGGAGTCAATACTGATTCAGAGGGTGTGTATGTGTATGTGTGTGTATGTAATATGTATGTAAGTATGTGTGTAATATTAATAGATTACTTGAGATAGAAATATTCCAAAAAAACTCAAATTCTCAAATTCCTTCCCAAGTTCTTATTTTGATACGTTTCCTAGGAAAAATAACATGTTTTTAGAAGCACACAAGCTTGACATGAGAAAGTTGCGCGAGGCAGTTTGCGCTGTTGGAGTTAACTTGGTTGTACTTAAAACTCCTAATTTGGAGTGATATATATATATTAGGTGCTATATCTCACCAGTTAGTATATTTTTATTACAGGCAAACCAAACTTTATGAAAACTCCTGAAGATCAGATTGGGATTTCTGGTGGTGTGGCCTCCTTTGTATGCCAAGCAACAGGAGAGCCAAAGCCACGCATCACTTGGATGAAGAAAGGAAAAAAGGTCAGCTCCCAGAGATTTGAGGTATGTAGAGAATGAACATTTGATTGGAATTTTGGGAGAATGCTCATATATTGAATGGAATTAAGTAGGATGAAATGTGAGGACTGGAAGGGGTGTGCGTTTTTTTATATGTACATTACTGATTAAGTTTTACTTTATACTCTGCATAGTTAACTTTGGAGATTGTGTAAGATATGCAAATCAAAAAGAAGATAAAAATAAAGCTGTTTACTGCTGATGGTTAAGATGGGTATATAATATACTTTTTCGGACTATAAGACACTCCGAAGTATAAGACATACCTAGCTTTGGGGGAAGAAAACAAGAAAAACAATCTGGGTCTGCCTACCAGCAATTTGCCTCCTTGAAGAAAACAGCCTGGTCAACTTCAGCACAGCCTGATTAGCACAAGCAGTTGATTGTCGGTTGGATTGGCCTCCTGACGATCAGCTGTTTCAGGCTGCAGGGATCGCCATTGCCTATTGCTGCCTCCCTGCGCCCCATTTTCAGCCTCGGCATCTCATTTTCAGCCTCCGCATCCTGTTTTCAGCCTGAGTGCGCCCTGTTTTCAGCCCATTCTAGGTGTTTGCTGCAAGGAGGCAAATTGCTGGGAGGCAGAAGCCGAAGTTTGAGGGCTGGGGGGTGGGCGAGACTTTGGCAACATTCGCTATTTAAGACGCACAGACATTTCCACCCACTTTTGGGAGTGGGGGGAAGTACATGTTATATACCAAAAATACGGTAACTGCTTTCAGCTCAGAAGCACTATGCTTCTGGGTATTAATTGTTGGAAAAGGAGAAGAGAATACTATTACAGTTATGTCCTGCTTGTCAAGTTCTCAGTTAACAAGACTTTAATTATTCTTATTTAGGGGAAGCAGATTTCATCCCATTTTGCTATAGCTTCCATGTATAATCATTGTATCATTTCAGTGATCTGATCATTTCTTTCTGCCTATGAATTGAGATTAGATTAATGTAAAATCATTTAAGTGATGGCAATGTTCCCACCCACAATAGTTCAAACTGTCCATCCAGTTAAAGTTGTATATAATGTCATGTGGGGCATCTTGAGGTGGTGATGCAGGCATCCATCCGTTGACCTTGGCCTATTTTGATAGAGTTGCGCCTGCGCATAGCAGAGCAAAGAAGCATAAACAAGAAACATTCCCCCCAACTTATACAGTTTATTCTCAAAGCCTCCAGCCCATTTTCCACACCGTCAAAGCTCAATTATTTTACCCCTCCCCCCCATTACTATGGCAGCCGAAAGATGCAAAGCAAAGGAAAGAAGTCTTGAAGGCTGACAGGTGGTTTGTTGCATTAGCCAAATTTTAGTGTCATAACTCACTCACTGAATTTAAAATGTTGGTTTAATTAAATTCAAAGTTTAGGAGTATGGCAAACTTTATTCCAGCTACATTTGAAGGACTTAAATACTTCTGAAAATCTATGAGCATATTTCATCTTAAATCTTTAATATTAATAAATGTTGAGTTGAATATCAGTTGCAACCACCCCTGCCTGCCTGCCTGTCTTAACCCCTGCCACATTCGGCATTTTATCTATATCTAATATAGTAATTTTGCTTTTTGTTTGTTTTGGATAATACCAAATCTATCCATACATCTGCAGACATTATATATTATAAGAGTAGGATTTTATATTATCTGAAGCCATAGCCATCTGGTTATGTCTGTTGATGTAAGTTTTAACCACTGTGACAGTCAAGGAATTTGACATAGAGGAACACACTTCATAATTTCATAGTTATAGCTGAAAAAATTAACATGTAGTTGTCTTCTATGGATCAATTGTACTAATGAATTAATAATAACTTTTCCCTCTCTTGAAAAAGGTTATTGAATTTGATGATGGATCTGGATCAGTTCTGCGGATTCAACCACTACGTGTCCTTCGGGATGAAGCAATTTATGAATGCATGGCTACCAGCAGTGTTGGCGAAATAAACACGAGTGCCAAACTTACAGTATTAGAAGGTAGGTAGAACTTGCTTAATTGCTGTGTTGCATTTAAACACTACATGTGATAGCGGTCAGGGTTTATTTGGTTGGTGTCATTTCAGATAGCTAATACAGGATTTGATTTATATTTTTTGCCCTGGATTTTGACATTTGTTTTATTTGGTAATGTTCTCAATTTGATACATCATAAAGAGGCAAAATGGAGCCAAGTATCCACACATAAGTGAATTTGTTGCAGTTGCTTCCCTGGCCTATCTTTTTGTCTGCGTTTCTGTCTCTCTGGCTCCAGATTCTCTTGATGAACTGAATTGCATACATATAATGTAATTGAAAATTATTTTTTTCTGTTGATAGGAGAACAGGTATAGATATGCAAACCTTTTCTTTTCTTTTTCTCTTGGTCAGCTGATAAGTTGAATAATGTATAAGTCATATTGAGCATTTCTGTCTTTTTCAGTTATGACTTACAACAGTGAAATACTCTTGCGTGCCCAGTAGAAGAAAGGTTTGAGCAAAACAAGCAGAAAAGGAGGAGAATCAATGACATCTCTCTCTCTCTCTCTCTCTCTCTCTCTCACACACACACACACACACACACACACACACACACACACACACACCAAATAGAAGCTTCAGGGAGAGTTAGTGGACATGATGTTACAAATTAATAAATATGTGATTGAGTTGTAAGACTGGGGATTACAGCTTGCATTATAGAGCACTTTAAACAGCAGCATTATACAGTAGAGAGGGGGAAATGTTGCAGTATTTCCTGTACTGCATCGAAATGAGTGACTTGCCTTATCTTCCTTTTCAGCAGCTCTTCTGGGCACGATAGAGGCAAGATCAGATTGGCAGCCCCTCTGTATACTGTAATCTGTATTCTTTCTGTGCTCATCTCCTGACAAAATGGGATCCAGCAGGAACACTAGAAAGAAAGGGGAATTGATCTGCTTTTTTCTTAGGCTTTTGGATTTATATGTTTATAAATTTAATTTCTTGTAAGGATATTAGTGGTGACAAACAACGGCTTTTACAATTGGAACTTCAATCCAATCTGGATAGATTTTATTCCCACAGTAGCCTTAAGCAATTTATATCACATCAAGGCAGTCTGGAGGCAATAAGTGTATGACTTAATTCTTTTGTTTAAGCTGTTTTAATGACAATTAAAAAAATTTCCTCTTCCCCTCCCCCCAATCTAAGTTATTTTTTTAAGGCTTCCTTGAAATGTGGCTCCACAATTATGTATTAGCTGAACAATGGCTCCTCTGTGATTTGTTCAAATATGTTCATGATTTCTAGTTCTGCTTTTTAATGATATGAAGGATGACTTTTCAGATAGATTAGATTTTAAGTCAATCCAACTTTGCTGGTTGTCTTTGCTTAGGAAGTATATCACTGAGTGAAAATGGAGCAAAGCCTAGAATGTATTTATCGTGTTTAGCTTGTAATTAAGAGAGGAGGTTGTATAAGGATGAAAGAGCATATCTATGTTTCAAAGGCTTATTGATTACTGAACTGTATCATAAGTTTAATTTCTATCAACATCTGCTGGCTTCATCCCAGTTCCTGGAGTTACTCAATATGAAATTCAGTAAAGGATAAATATTTGACAGTTACAAATTATTTGTGCAGAAAGCTGCATCTCCCAAGACCTGAGACAATATGTTCTTGTAAAACTCATCTAACACCAACTTCTCTGTTTCTGCAGCAAACAGTTGTTAACTGTGCTTAGCCCATATACACACATCTCATTAGTTACACAAGAATCAGTTTGACAACAAGGAAGTTTGTTCATATTTGTCTCACTCTCTATTATATATTCCTCCTAAGAAATGGCTCTTCATTAGAAAATCAGAAAAATTAAAGGAAAGGAGATTACATTTGAATATTGCATCTTAGCCCAAGCAAATAATGAACATTAGAGATCGTTTTAGAATGTAGTGACACATTTCTATGTGAAAATGTTCTCTCTGAAGTAAAATATCTCTAAAATGTTTAAAACTTTTGAATCATTCATATTATCAGGACAGTCTAAAAAACTAGCTATTGTAAGCAATGTTCTCATTTTACTTTTCTTTTGGTTCTGAAGCTTTTATTTTACCTTTTCAGCATAAAAACAGTCCAACTCACAGGAATTACAATGCATGAAATAATGGTTAGGCATGTCGTATTCTGCTTTCCAATTGTTAAGAGCTTCCAAAGAAGTTTAACATTTTGCTTTAAGTATTTACACAGTATCTATGATCTTGGCATCACTATTCTTTAATTCTCTTACTTATGCCAAGCTCCCATATCTATATAACTTAATTTTGATGTGTCTTTTTATGCATTATCAGTACTGGTTTCTATAGGAAACAAATAAGCAACTTTCACAACATAGAAGGTTTTGAATTATCAGTCTCCTGAAAAAGATAGTGTCATTGAATATGTACAATTTATCGGTTTCTTTGTCTTATCACAGTTTAAATAAGTGACCAATGACATATGAAAATATAATATTTCCACAATGACTAGTTCCACGAAGATTTTTATACATAGCGTTATCAACTGAAGTTCATTTTGCAAGATATTTGAAGCAGAAAATGTCACTTCTGGAAAAATTTTAAATTAATCTTTACAAAATTAAAGAGAAGCCCATCTATGAAAATACTGAACTAGAGACAGAAGAGGAACTAATAATTTCCCTATAAATGCTGATATTACTTTTCACCCAACAATAATTCTTTCATTTTGCTTCAGATATATTATTTGAATTTAAAGTAATCTTAGGGGAAAAAACCTTACTATATATGAATTCAGCATATTGGTGAATTTTCAAATGTAGCATAAGCTTAAAAATAAAGCAATGCTTTTCAGGAAAGTTTCTATGAGAAATTTCAGGAAAGTAGAAATGTTTATTTATGACAATTTTGAATCACTATTCTGGGTAGGAAGTATCCTCTATCACTACAGATAACAACTACTGGTACCTACTGAGATATTACTCAAGAGCAAAAGAGCGGTCAAGGCTATTTATTTATTTATTTATCTATTTATTTATTATGAATTTAAAAAAATCAAATCTTCCTTTTATTTGTCCTGAACAAATAGATTTGAAATAATAAAAAATACAGCAATGGAAAGCAGTACAGTAAGGATTTTTTAATAAGGATGTTTTAATCTTATTCTGTAAGATGCTTAGTCATTTCCTGATACAGATTAGCATATAAATTGAAAAATAAATAAATAAGCGAATAACATAAACATCTCTATATTTTTGCAGTAAGGCTAATGGCTGCAGTTCGTAGCTTCCTTTTTGAGCTATTAATCTCACTTTATACCTTGATAGGATCCATTTATCCTTTCCATTAATTCAATTAATTAATTCCATTAATATTTGGTTGTTTTTGCAGCCATGTTTTCAGCCTATGTCTAGCACCCAGATACTGCTGCAGTGTAAAGGATATAGAGAAACAGTGACTCCTTATAACTAGGAAGAATGACAAGAGATAGTTCCATGCTACACATTTTCTGCACAATCCTGCATAAATAATGCCTTTGAAAAGAAACATGTGGAAATAGAGTAGAGTAGAGTAGCACAGAACAGAACAGAATATTGGCCAAGTGTTACTGGATACAGTCCTAACTGTCTGTTGAAATCTGTACCTGTCCTGTTTGGTTGCTGTACCAAATCAAATACCAAGCAAAAGTTAAAAATATAGCTTCAATGGTACAAAATGGCTATAAATGTGCATTTACTTTTATTTGTAGATGGAGAAAACAAATGTTTTAATCCTTCAAAGGTAAATGTGTTGGTTCTAAATCAGCTATAATGGTGATGGACCATCTGGAGATAAGGTTGGAATTTCACCATTATCAAAAGAGAGCTTGCCAGCTTTATAACTAAAGTTCACAGCGGTTTCTAGCGGTTTCTCTACTTGTAGAAGTGAGAGAAGAAGTCCTCTGAAAGAGATCCAACTACTATTTGGCAACCAGTTCAGAAGAAAAAAGTATTTTCACTTAAATATTATCTGCAATTTTGATGGAAGATGGAATTTTACCCAGGCATTTCTTTCTCTCCTTTCTTCAAGCTAAAACAAAATCATATAATTATTATTGACCAACCACTTCTTGATTCCTGCCTATGGCATAAAGTCTAAAAATGAAAGATTTGTGCAGTATTTAACAGAAGTGATTACAGTACTTTGTTGGTATCAATGCAATAAACCCTGTTGCATGTATCTAACAGTAATTGTTCTTATAGGAGAAATTATTTTGTAATCAGGGCATGTGACTCTCTTAGTCTCATTTCCTCGCATCTTAGTCTAATTTCCTCGCATCCTCATTTTTAAAGAGAGATATTTTCAATACAGTTTGACTTCAGGTGCGAAGTGGGGTTGAAGTCCACAAGTCTTAAAGTTGCTAAGTTTGGAGACGTCTGGTTTAGATGCTCATAAGACCGTTATTCAAGCCACTTATGATGTTTTTGAAAAACAAATTACTTATTTGGAATCACAATTGCATTAAAAAAAATCTATATGTCATTAGTATTGAGAATCTTCCAAGTCAATCAAACTTGGCTGAATTCATAGAAGCTTCTTTATTTGGGAACAGATTTGCCAATTGACATTGATCATGAGATTAAAATTCCTTTATTGAGAAGAGTGTAATTGGTTCCAATATTATTATTGTGCGGTTCCTCCATGTTACCACAAAATATGAGATATTATATATATTTTCCCAGGAACCAGTGAAGTCTCTTTTAAATTGGTGTTCTAGTCAAGGCAAGATATCAGTTTATCTTCATTTTATTAGTTTCAAAAAATCAGTACAATTTCAATATTTCATATATTTTCTAGCTATATTCTGTATTAATCATCAAGATAATATTCACAGATTTGATAACCCTCTAAACGTAGAGGCCTTTATCTTATTCTTAAAATCTGTTGATATACAAGCCTGATTGTATTTTATTCTATTCCATAAAATCTGTGGAAGAGTTTAGTTTGCCTACAGATCTGTCATAAAAG